AAGAACATCTGGAAGGCCACAGGTTTCCCAGCCTTCCTGGTAGACGGATGCTCTTCTTATAACTTCTTGAGATAATTCCAGTTGAAAGAATTTGATTGTTTATAGAGGTTTGCCAACAGCCTAATCTACATCAGAATATTGGCAGACACAAGCTAAAGGTCAATCTTGATTGCCCAGCCAGGAAAGAACAAAGCCAGGCAGAGTAGCCTCCAGCCTCCAGAGCAGTGAAGGGTCGTGGTGTTCACAAACATGACCAAAAAGACTTTGATAATCCCTGCTTTTCCTCAGGGGCAAAGGTGGGGGTGGGGAAGCAAAGGACAGCAAAACCCAGGAAGAATTTGTTCTCTCTGTCCTTTTCCTGAGTAGAACAAAGCCCAGCACTTCACTTCATCAGGAACAATGATATGTGATATAGCCATGGTTGATATTAGGAGCACAACCACACCCTGTAATATCATAGAATCATACTGGATGATGGAGTGGGGATTAATTTCCCACCACCATAAAGGTTCCCCACAGTCAGACTAAAAGAAAGATAGCAGGAAGCAACCACCAATCTTGCTGCCGTTTCAAATAAATGCCAAGCTACTCAATTTTAGACCTTTATTTTTTCTGCTTTCAATGGCAAGGATAATAGGTTTTGGCTGAGAAATAAATCAGGGAATGTCACAGTATAGATAAGAATGTATTTTGAGTTCTGTGAGGCAAGAATAGGCTGTAATTAAGAAAACATAACCTGTCAAAGAAACTGGTGCACCAGGGTTGGGTTAGCACACACCAGAGTGAGCTTTCATAATATATGTTGCTACTTTGTCATGTAAACAAACACTTCATACCTGAGATAACTTTTCTATCTTTGATGTACAAGGAAGTCCCAGATGAAACTCTCAAACTAAAGACCTATTTAGTCTAATACCCCATTTCCCAAAGTAGCCAATAGATGTATATAGGAAGCTCATTAGTAGACCCTAAAGACAAAATCCCTCTCCAATTGTTGCACCCCAGCAACTGGTATATGGTGATATATTGCCACTAAATACAGAGGTTTCATGTAGCTATCTTAGTTAATAGTCACTGAAAGGGGGTTCTTAAATGGCAAGGGGTTGGACTGGATGGCCCTTGCTGTCCCTTCCAGTTCTATTATTCTTTGATTCTAAACACTCCTCCTTGATAAATTGATCTAGTCCCCTTTAACATGATGCGAGATACTAAATACTGTTACTAGATTCTGTGACATGTTCTATAAATTATGTGCTCAATAAGAGGTGTGAAGTCTCGGCCTGTTTATTTCCCAGTTGGACTGTTCCATTTTGCCAAGTTTAGGGGAGAAACTTAGGTTCCCCCTAGAGTCCGAGCTCAGTTGGTGCAGCCCATTCTGACTCAGAGCCAGAATGGGCTGGTGATAGAACTTATGGCATTCTTTGTTGGTCATAGCTTATAGATAGTTGCCAGATAGTGTCTGGTCTGGCCTAGCAATTTGAACAGGCCATCCTTATCACATATTTGCCAGAGTTTATAGATTATAGATAGATAGTTCATATACATGTAATAGTTAACAGTTATATTTACCTCATAAAAATTATACTTGTTACCTCAGTTTATATTTCACTATTCAAACTGCACTTTTATACCTTGATTATTTAGTAAACAATTGTTGAATTTAATCTTGTCTCTAGTGTTTTATTTTGAGGTATTAAAGTAATTTAGGGCATAGCGATGGTCACTGGGAAAATAGCCAGACACATTTAGGTTTCTCATTAGATCTTCCTGGTGTGCCATCATAAGAGGGCTCCCTGTTTTCTCACCTGAATCATGTGTCAACTAGTTTCATTGAGTGACCCTGAGTTCTAGTATAATTAAATATTAAAAAACAGGCTAATTTTACTGTATTATATATTGTATTTTAGAAAGCTTTATTTAGCTTCCTAATAGCTAGATTTTGTTTTGAACAAGTTGAAAAGTTCTACTGCCATCACTTTTTCTTGCAGGGAATGTACATCAGTCCTTTGATTATTTGGATATCTTTTTCTAACTGCACAATGTCAGGCGCCTGATCAGGCGTCCCATCCCACAGTCATCTTCATTTGAATGTGCCGGCTTTAGGATAGGTGACCGGGACAGGATAGGGATTCTGTTGGTGTACCGACCACCCCGCTGCACCACAGTCTCCCTACCTGAGCTAGCGGGGGTGGTCTCGGACATGGCGTTGGACTCCCAACGGCTCTTGGTCTTGGGAGATTTCAACATCCATGCCGAGGCCCCTCCTTCTGGTGCGGCTCAGGATTTCATGGCCGCCATGGCAACCATGGGCCTGTCCCAGCTAATATCTGGTCCCACTCATAGTGCCAGCCACACACTAGATTTGGTATTCTTGCAGGGATGGGATGGAGGTGACGGGGTGGAGGAGCTTACCATCGCTCCTTTGCCATGGACCGATCACCACCTGATCAGCTTTAAACTAACTGCTCCCCCTAACCTTCGCAGGGGTGGAGGACCCACTAGAATGGTCCGCCCCAGGAGACTTATGGATCCAAATGGTTTCCTGACGGCTCTTGGGGATTTTCCCACCTCCTTGGCAAGCGACTATGTCGACGCTCTGGTCGCTCGCTGGAACAGTGAGATGACCAGGGCTATTGACAGAATCTCTCCGGAGCGCCCCCTCTCAAGTAACCGAGCTAAACCAGCCTCTTGGTTCACCGAGGAGCTGGCAGCGATGAAGCGAAAGAAGAGGAGGCTAGAGTGCGTGTGGCGCCAGAACCCCACCAATCCAGCCCAAACACTTCTGAATACCTTTTTAAGGTCCTACGAGGTGGCAATAAAGGCGGCACAGAAAACCTTTCTTGCAGCCAATATTGCGTCTGCGAAGAACCGTCCAGCAGAGCTTTTCTGAGTTGTCAGGGGTCTGTTAAATCCACCTAAACATGAGGCCCCTGACAGCTCGGTGGCGCGCCGTGAAGCATTTGCTCGATTCTTCGAAGATAATATTGAGCGGATTCGATCAGATTTTGACATCATATTAACGGCAGTCTCTGAGGATGTAACGAGAACATCTGCTTGTCCAGTTTTGTTGGATTCTTTTCAATCGGTTCAGCTTGAGGATGTGGACAGGATCCTTGGAGAGGTGCGATCTACCACATGCATCCTAGACCCCTGTCCATCCTGGCTGATAAAAGAAGCCAGAGGGGGTTTGGCAGAGTGGGTAAAGGTGATGGTTAATGCATCCTTACAGGAAGGAAAGTTTCCAGCGAGCTTAAAACAAGCTATTATAAAACCGCTGTTGAAGAAACCATCACTGGACCCCACTCAATTCGACAACTTTCGGCCAGTTTCCAATCTCTCCTTTTTGGGCAAAGTCATGGAACGTGTGGTGGCAACACAACTCCAGGGGTTTCTGGTAGACACTGATTATCTGGATCCGGCACAGTCTGGCTTTAGCCCGGGACATGGCACTGAGACAGCCCTGGTCGCCTTGGTAGATGATCTTCACCGGGAAATGGACAGGGGGAGTGTGTCCCTGTTAGTTTTGCTGGATCTCTCAGCAGCCTTCGATACCGTCAATCACGGTATCCTTCTGGGGCGCCTCAGGAACATGGGGCTCGGGGGCACGGCGTTGCAGTGGCTCCGATCCTTCCTTGAGGGACGGTCCCAGAAGGTGTTATTGGGAGACACCTGTTCGGCTCCACAACCATTGCTATGTGGAATCCCACAGGGTTCAATACTGTCCCCGATGTTATTTAACATCTACATGAAGCCGCTGGGGGAGATCATTCGGAGTTTCGGACTAAGATGTTATCTCTATGCAGATGATGTCCAAATCTGTCACTCCTTTCCACCTGTCACCAAGGAGGCTGTTCAGACCTTGAACCGGTGCTTGGCCGCTGTGTCGGACTGGATGAGGGCTAACAGATTGAAATTGAATCCAGACAAGACAGAGGTCCTACTGGTCAGTCGTAAGGCCGAACAGGGCATAGGGTTACAGCCTGTGTTGGATGGGGTTACACTCCCCCTGAAGACGCAGGTTCGCAGCTTGGGAGTGATCCTGGACTCATCGCTGAGCCTGGAACCCCAGGTCTCAGCGGTGGCCTGGGAGAGCTTTTGCACAATTAAAACTTGTGCGCCAGCTGTGCCCGTACCTTGGGAAGTCGGATCTGGCCACGGTGGTCCACGCTCTTGTTACATCCCGATTAGATTACTGCAACGCACTCTACGTGGGGTTGCCTTTGAAGACTGCTCGGAAACTTCAACTAGTTCAGCGAGAGGCAGCCAGATTGCTCACCGGAGCGGCATACAGGGAGCATACCACCCCCCTGTTGTGTCAGCTCCACTGGCTGCCGATCCAATTCCGAGCACAATTCAAAGTGCTGGTTTTGACCTACAAAACCCTATACGGCTCTGGCCCAGTGTATTTGTCCGAACGGATCTCCCTTTAAGATCGGTCGGGGGGGCCCTGCTCTCAACCCCGCCAGTGTCACAAGTGAGGTTGGCAGGGACGAGGAGCAGGGCCTTCTCGGTGGCGGCCCCCTGCCTGTGGAACTCGCTTCCCAGGGAAATCAGAACAGCGACCTCACTCCTCTCCTTTAGGAGAAAACTCAAAACATGGATGTGGGACCAAGCGACACTATCTAGGAAAGGTATAATGGAATGGGATCTGGAACCCGAAAAGTCGAATGCTGAACATGTGAATTGTTCTATATGTTGTGATAAATATTGTGTTATTGATTGTTAATTGCATTGTGGTTTTATCTTTAACTGTTTTAATTGTTTTAATTATGATTGTCATTTTGTATAACTGTAATTGTATGGGCGTGGAATGGTGCCTCGTTGTGTAAGCCGCCCTGAGTCCCCCCTTGGGGGTGAGAAGGGCGGGGTATAAGTGCTGGTAATAAATAAATAATAAATAAATATATTTGGGATTCTTACACTATGGCAGCTTATAAGAACAACTAATAATTCAATCTTCCTTCTTCCAATCCATGTAAAAATAACAAAAGTGCAAAGTATTGCCAAAGGGTAAGAAGAAAATAGAATATTTTACCAGGGCACAGAGGTTCAGGGGTGTCCTACCTAGGTTACAAACCCTTTACAATGGGGAAAACCTGATATAAATGGATAATCATGGCTGAAGATGATTATGTACAGTTATTTATGATTCTATAAAACAAATTACCCTTCAAAACCCACTTTTCCATAATGACTTTCAAATAACAAAGTTCCAATACCATCCCATAAGTAAGTACTGTATGCATAGCTGAAACAATTTCATATTCTTCTCATATATGACTTCTTCCATTTTAATTCACTTGTTATTACTCAATGTATTTGTTCAATATGAAGGTCTATCTATGATATCAATATTAACAGTATCAAATAAAAAAGCAAGAAAAATATTTTCTCCTATGGGAAATGTGCATAAGTTATCTGGTTCTTTTTGTACCAGCGAAGAATTAACTTACCCGTATATGTCAATTAAAATGTTACCTGAATAGATATTTTTAATCAGTCACTCCACATTTGCCTATGTAAATACCTTTATGCATCCACTGAGACATAAATATACCACAGAATATTGTGATTTTGTGCAAGAAACAGGGCTTTGTGTGATTCTCCGACACAACTGCTGTTGTTGCCTTTTTAAAAGACAAACTAGAGTTGGAAACTATTTAGCAGAAAAAGGAGGGTTTCTGTAATTTTCTGCTATAGGCAAGTAAATGTTCAATTAATTTCAATTAGCAATGCAAGGACAATTGTTTAGAATCTTTCACTGTGCTCAATAGACTTTTTATTATATTTTACCATCCTTAAAGATATTTCTACATTTTATCCACTTTGATTTCATTTCTGTGTCCTTGAAGAACTATCGTCCAAAAAGGTTGAACATTTGTAGTGAAATTCTGAGCATTCTCCAACTTAGCTTGAACTTGCATATCAAAGCCTTTTAAATGCAGCATATTTTCCCAATACAAAAGTATTATTTTCTCCATAGTACCTACAAATAATCCCACCCTCATTCTCTTCAAGTGTGCACTTTTTAAAAAAATCAGAATTAACCATATTTCCTTCCCTCATACTCTCTTCTTAAAAACTGAAGTGATATGTCTCTTCGTGTTAGCTAAAGTGAGTGATCAACAACTCTTTGCGAACTTGGTAGGCTTCAGAGTCAAGTGATTCCATATGCTCATATTCATATTCCTCTGGCTGTTCCATCTGTCCCATTGTTAAAGAAGACCATATATCCAGCCCATGTTCAAGAGCTATGTTATGAAGCACACAACAAGCCAAGATGATGTGGCTGGCCTTCTCTGGGGAATATTGCAGTGTGCCCTTTGAGCCATCCAGGCAACGGAACCGGGATCGAATAGACCAGAATGCTTGTTCGATGATATTGTGAGTAGCTGAGTGTGCCATATTATATCTATACTCTGCAGGTGTCTCAGGAATATGCAGTGGAGTCATTAGCCAAGTGCGAAGAAAGAAGGAATTATCACCTGCCAAACAGAAACGCGAGAGATCACAAAGCAAATAGGAACACAAAACCCCAATTTCATTTCCAGGATTTAAGAATGAATCTCATTGCCATCTGAAGTATGCATTCCAAAAAAGAATGGAGATAAAAGATAATTTTCTCAATTATTATTTGTTTAATCTTTATAAAGGGAGATTTCTAAATTCCAGGAAGTTTTGTGACATAAGTTTACGTGTCAGTGAACCAAACAAATATCCCGCCACAACACCCTTTAGAAACTCAGTTGTCAGAATGAACTTACCAAGGAGCCACCCATCTTTGTGCATGCCAGCTTCAAACTGGTTCCTTAGGCCTGACTGCTGCAGCACAGTGCGATCCTGTAGGCTGCCTGGCCAATGTGTTTCTGCACTCAGCAGCAATCCTCTTGCATCACAAACCATCAGGCAGTTCAAGGAATGAAGGCCCTTTTCATTCACATATGACAAGTCTTCGGCATTTGGTGCCTTTATTGTTACATGGGTGCAATCAACAAGTCCTAGCACTCCTGGCATACCTGCCAATGTATAGAAGTCATCTTTTAGTTGCTGCACAGATGCATCATCCTCTGGAAAATGAATGAATTGAGAAGCCCTCTCCACCAGGGCTTCAGTGACATTGGCAACACAACGGCTCATAGATGCCTGACTGATGCCAATGGCATCTCCCATGCGGGTCTGGAAAGAGCCAGAAGTGTAAAAACCCAATGCAGCAAGAATTTGAGTCTCCGGGCTAATCGCCCTAGATCGCTGGGTAGGACGAGAAAGATTGGCTCCCAGGAGATCTACCAGATAGCAAATGAACTGACGTGGGAAGCCATACATAGATACCAAATACTCATCAGTAACATCTTCCAGTTTGAAGCGATCAAGTGTCCTGTGTCCACGACCATAAAGCAAGAGGTCACAATCCAGGACTGCTATGGGAACAGTCATGATGGATTAAGGCTTTTTCTTATTTCCTCTGTTCAGCTGCACTGGGACCAAGAAAGGAAATTCAGTACCTAGCTAAAATATTGTATCTTTTTTTTCTAACATCTCCACTGCAATTCATCTGAAAATAAATATTTATTGGCTTAAGTGCTATTATATGCAAATAAGATTTTTATAAATGTATGTTCTAACTTTAACTGTCATTAACTCTAGATGTGATTAGGCTGAAAAGTGCAGTTCACAAAATACAACCAAAATATAATAAACGTTCCCACACTCTCGTTAACATGCCCAACCAAAAAAAAAAAAAAAAAACAACCCTGGAACATATGGGAATGAGATCTCCCAGGGACACTGCTATTGATTTTAGTCAAGAGTTCAATGAATCTTGACCAAGATTCTGGCAAAGGTCTAATGGAAAATGTTTGAAGTTGTGTGTAATTTTACTGAGAACTATGGGGCACACTACAGAATGCAAGAATACACAATTAGTGTTGACCTCGAGTCACATGCAAACTTATAATGGTGGAGTGCATGTTTCACAGGCAGTTAGTGACATGTTTTGAGTTCTTCCTGAACCAGTTAAGCAAGTCTAGGAAAGCGTCTTTCTTCCTCCAAAGTTGGTGCAAAAAACTAATTGACTGTAGCCAACATAAGGGTGTGAATCAGTAATACCAAAATAGATGTCATTCTTAGAAACATGCCAGTCTACAATAGAATTATATATTTATTATAATTTTTCTTCCATAAATTGCATTCTCCCTCAAGTTTCAATATATTTTTCCTTTTTCAGACCCCAGAAAATCTAAAACATCAGAAAAACTAGAGACAATTAATTAAAACATTCATATAATAGGAATATATGCCTCTACAAAAAAGATGCTATTTAAACAGAATCACCACCCATCCACTTTCCTCTATTACTGATCATCAGGCATATTCTGATAGAGAGGATACAGTTTTCCAACCTTGCAAATCAAAGGTTCAACAAAGTAAGTGTTTATTTGTATACTAATCTTCTTCCCATGTTTATCCATGATTCCTAGTAATTAGAATATGAAGGGAACAGGTAGGAGTGGCAGCAGAAAAAAATCACACTACCATCAGATATAGTCTGAATGCCAAAGAGTCCATCTTTACTAGAGAATCGGTCCCTTCTCCTTAATGAATTTTAATACATAGACACAAAGCTTAAAATCCATAGGTAAAGGTTTCCCTTTGACATTAAGTCTAGTCATGTCCTACTCTGGGGGTGGCGCTCATCTCCATTTCTAAACCGAAGAGCCGGCGTCGTCTGTAGACACCTCCAAGGTCATGGGGCCGGCATTACTGCATGGAGCACCATTAGCAGTACCTATTGATCTCACATTTGCATGTTTCCAAACTGCTACGTTGGCAGGAGCTAGGGCTAATAGCAAATACGTCCATCACTCCAAATTCGCTAGAGGCTCTGTGAAAGTGAAAAATCACAAAGAAATTGCTATATTTTTTCCCTCAGAAAACACTTCTCTAGGAATTTCTAGGTCCCTCAGCATGACTGGAGGAAGTTAACCAGAGAGTCACAGTGGAGGCCCTAGCAATTTCTAGAGAGAACATCTGTAATCAAATCAGTGAGTAATCAAAACTGCAAATGTGGAGAAACGACTGTAAGGTAAATTATTGAGAAAATAAAGTTTTTAGCTCATATTGATGGTTTTTGTTGGGCTTGGTCCCCATGTAAGCCGCTCTGAGTCCCTTTGGAGAGATGGTGGCAGGATATAAAAATAAACTTCAACTTTTTCTTCTTCTTCTTATTATTATTATTGTGAACAACCATAAAAAGGTCAGAACAAAATTTCATTTCAAACATTTCAAATGGTCAAAGAAGTCTGTGGCATCTTGAAGATGATGGTTATTATGATATAAAAATAGAAAATTGTTATTGGGTTCGTTGCAACAAATTATAAAATGCCAGTATTTCCGGTTGGATCTACATTGCCAAATAATGCTATTTGAATGGCATTATATAGGCCTATACTGACCATGTAATGCCATTCAAACTGCATTACTTGGCTGTATAGATCCAGCTTTCAGAACATCTCTGAAGAGATTTCAGAGTTAGCAATGCTGACATAATAAACCAGAAAGACAACACTAGCTACTTCATCACACTAGAGAATGAATCCACTTTAAATCAGATTTCTGCTTCCTGCAGAATTCTGGAGTTTGTAGTTTAATGTGCCTGTTAAAGGTTACCTCCTTAAACTACAAACCCCAGAATTCTGCAAGAGGCAGCAACCAGATTTAAAGTGGATTCATTCTCTGAGATTGAAGATGCACAGAAAGATTGATCATCTTTTAAACCTAGAACAACGATCTCTAAATGTATTGTCAAAGGCTTTCATGGCTGGAATCACTGGGTTGTTGTAGGTTTTTTCGGGCTATATGGCCGTGTTCTAGAGGCATTATCTCCTGACGTTTCGCCTGCATCTATGGCAAGCATCCTCAGAGGTCATGACCTCACAAACTCTGAGGATGCTTGCCATAGATCAGGGGTCCTCAACATTTTTAAACAGAGAGCCAGGTTACAGTCCCTCAAACTATCGGAGGGCCGGATTATAATTCGGGGGGAAAATGCACACTGCACTTATCTTATTTGTAATGCAAAAAACACTTTAAAACAATACAATAATTAAAATGTAGAACAATTTTAACAAATATAAACTTATTAGTATTTCAATGGGAAATTTGGGCTTGCTTTTGGCTGATGAGATAGAATTGTTGTTGTTGTTGTGTGCTTTCAAGTTGTTTCAGACTTAGGCTGACCCTGAGTGAAGGCTGGGTTAATGATCTTGGGAGGGCTGTATCAGGCCCCTGGGCCTTAGTTTGAGGACCCCTGCCATAGATGCAGGCCAAACATCAGGAGATAACGCTTCTAGAACAGGGGTCCTCAAACTATTTAAAGAGAGGGCCAGGTCACAGTCCCTCAAAGTGTTGGAGGGCTGGATTATCGTTTGAAAAAAGAAAAACATGAATGAATTCAATGGATTGCCGAAGGCTTTCATGGCCGGAATCACTGGGTTGTTGTAGGTTTTTTCGGGCTATATGGCCATCGTCTAGAGGCATTCTCTCCTGACGTTTTGCCTGCATCTATGGCAAGCATCCTCAGAGGTAGTGAGGTCTGTTGGAACTAGGAAAAGGGGTTTATATATCTGTGGAATGACCCGGGCGGGACAAAGGACTCTTGTCTGCTGGAGCTAGGTGTGAATGTTTCAACTGACCACCTTGATTAGCATATAATGGCCTGACAGTGCCTGGAGCAAACTTTTGTTGAGGTGATTAAATGTCCTTGTTTGTTTTCAGGCCATATAGCCTGAAAAAACCTACAACCCATGAATGAATTCCTATGCACACTGCACATATCTTATTTGTAGTGCTAATAACACTTTAAAACAATACAAATAATTAAAATGAAGAACAATTTTAACAAATATAACCTTATTAGTATTTCATTAGGACGTGTGGGCCTGCTTTTGGCTGATGAGATAGGATTGTTGTTGTTGTGTGCTTTCAAGTCATTTCATACCTGGGTTGACCCTGAGCGATGGCCAGGTAAATGACCTTGGAGGGCCGTATCTGGCCCCTGGGCCGTAGTTTGAGGACCCCTGTTCTAGAACATGGCCATATAACCCAAAAAACATACAACAACCTGGTGATCTCTAAACTTTAGTCCTCCAGGTGTTTTGGACTTCATCTCTAGGGCCACTTCTACACTGCCCTATAAAATACAGACTATCTGCTTTGAACTGGATTATAGGGCAATGTAGACTGAGATAATCCAGTTCAAAGCAGATACTGTGGATTATCTTCTTTGATAAATGGGTCTCAGAAGTCCATGGGTGCGTCTACACCAGGCCTGGGCAAACTTGGGCCCTCTCCCCAGGTGTTTTGAACTTCCACAAGTCCTAACAGCCTCAGGCCCCTTCCTTAAGCGGCTGAGGGGGGAAAGGAAAGGGCCTGAGGCTGTTAGGACTTGTGGAAGTCCAAAACACCTGGAGAGAGGGCCCAAGTTTGCCCAGGCCTGGTGTAGGTCCACCCCTGGTTAGTCCACTTTCTTGGGGAAACTTGGAGGGAAGAGGAGAGGGAGGAGGGCGGCTGCGTTGTTATCCAGAGCGGGAGAGTGGCAGGACCTACCAGGGCTGGAGGGGACCACTGAGAACCAGAACACAACGCAACCAAATGGGGAAAGGCGGTGTCCTTCCAGGCCCGGAGCGCCTCCCTGGAGCCCAGGCGGAGGAAGAGAGGCGGAGCTTCCCACCCGCAACACACACGCCGCCTCTAGGCTGCATTTTCGCAGGCGCAGATTCCTCACGGGAGCGGGCTCCTCGCTGCTCCTTCCTGGAGTCGCCTCCTCACTTCCGGGAGACAATATCCGCCGCTGTTTTTTTAGGCTACTTCCGCGAGGGAAAACAGATCGGGGAGGGAGGACGAAAGTGTCGAAAGTGCCGCCGCGAACGCGCAGCGCACTGGCAGGCTTTGCCCTGAGCGGATGAAAACAAACAGCGACGATGGTATCGGCAGGAGAATTGAGGAGGCCGTGGCCGTGAAGGGAGGAAGGAGGAGGGAAGGAAGGAAGGAGCCAAGCTTCAGGGCTGGCGGTGGTTTTCCTTCGGGTGCCCGTCGCCCCCAGGCATTCTGGGCTGTAGTCCTCAACCCTGAGGAGGCCCCGTTTTCCTGGGGTGAAGCCTGAGGTTGCGCGGCCTCCTCTGGGCTGGCTCGAGACTGCGCCTCCACGTTGGCCTGGACTTCCTGCTTCTTGCTGCCAAGGAGGCCCCTCTTTCGCTTCGGATCCGGTTTTTTTCGCACATCCCTTGGGCCTGGCCATGCGGAGGGGCTGCGGCGGCCTCTGGGAGCATTCACCCCCGGAATGAAACCCCGAACCGTCACCTCGGCCTCCCCAGTGCTGGTAATTGTGATCTCTTGTACCTCAGCTTCTTACGGTTGCCTATTTATTTATTTATTTATTTATTTATTCCTTTCATCCAGAAATGAAACTCAGTGTATAGTCTTTTGTTAGATGTGCTGTTTAGATCCAGTCCAGATTTCAACCACAGATTTGTGGTGGAAAGTACTTCGGTAGGTGATTTAAGCTGGAAAAGAAACAACAAGAAAATGGCCACTCCCTAGAATCATACAGTTGGAAAAGACCACATGGGCCATCTAGTCCAACCCCCTACCATTCAGGAAAAGCACAATTTATTATATTTATTATTTATTTCAAGTGCTTCTACCCCGCCTTTCTCAACCCCCTAGGGGGGACTCAGGGCGGCTTACAAAAGGCACAATTCGATGCCCAACAGTTCACAAAATACAATATACAAAATACAGTATGACAACAACAATTAAACTAGTTAAAACAATCTAATTAATACAATAGCAGCAATAAAATCATCTTGTGGTCAATGTTCGCCAATTCATAAATCCATAATCCATCCAGCATTGTCATAGTCCTTTCCTACTCTGGTCGTCATTGTCTTTATCCATCTGCCAGCTTACCCAAAGGCCTGGTCCCATATCCAGGTTTTTAACTTCCTTCTGAAATAGAGGAGGGATGCTGATGACCTAATTTCCCCGGGGAGTGAATCCCACAGGCAAGGGGCCACCACCAAGAAGGCCCTGTCCCTCGTCCCCACCAGTCTCACTTGTGATAAAGGTGGGGCCGAGAGCAGGGCCTCCCCAGATGATTGTAAACTCTGAGGTGCGATCAAAGCATCCCTGTCAGATGGCCGTCCAGCCTCTGTTTAGAAGTTTCCAATAAATGAACTGGCATCTTCCCCGACTTGCATATTCCTAGATCAGGCCTGGGCAAAGTTGGACCCTCCAGGTGTTTTGGACTTCCATAATTCCTAACAGCGTCAGGTCCCGTCCTTTTTCCCCTCAGCTGCTTAAGCTAGATATAATACAATAATAATGATCCAGAAAACTGCATAATCCTTTTTGGTTGCAATGTGTTCTGGTTCTCAGTGGCCCCTCCAGTCCTGGTAGGTCCTGCCACTCTCCTGCTCTGGATAACAACGCAGCTCACCCTCCCTCTGCTCTTCCCCCCAAGGCAGTAGACTAACCAGGAGTGGGTCTACAGCAGATAATAATAATCCAGGGTGTCCATCTAGTGCAGGCATGGGCAAACTTGGGCCCTCCATGTGTTTTGCACTTTCTCCCCCACAATTTCTAACAGCCTCAGGCCCTTTCCTCCCCCCCCCCTCCCTCAACCGCTTCAGTGGCTGAGGGGAAAAAGGACGGGACATGTGGCTGTTAGGAATTGTGGGAGTGAAAGTCCAAAACACCTGGAGAGCCCAAGTTTGCCCATGCCTGCACTAGATGGACATCCTGGATGATGATGATGATATTGATATTTATATCCTGTTTTCCTCTCCTTATGGAGACTCAAAGTGGCTAACAACTCTAAAAACAATACAATTTATAATAGAATTAAATGTAGAACTGTGTTGGGATTTGGAAGCATATTATATAGCGGTGTAGAAGATCTGGAGGTCACAGTCATCATCCATCCATCCTCACTCTAAAATAAGAAATGTAGTGTAATCAGAGCTGATGCTGCTTAGCTTTATAGAGTATTTTATATCTCCATAAACCTCTTGAGTGAAGTGCTTCATAAGTCTGTGTATTGGGTGACATGCAGCTTTTGTTTTCTTTTCTTTTTTACCTACATACCCCACCAAGGCAGCAAAAGTCCTGAATGGGTACCTGGTGATAGCTTTAAAAATGAATGTGGCAAAGAAGCTGAAACTTAATCCAAACAAAATGGATGTTATGGATCATAAAATCTCCAGATCTAGATAGTGTTGTGTTTGTGATCCAGGACAACATTCATTTTCCCAGAAGTACCTATATAATTTGAAAATCATTTGAGACCTAATGCTTTCTGTGGTGGCTCAACTGTGATCAGAGGCAAGCAGTGTTATTTATCAGCTTCTGCTGCATGTTAGTTGTCGCTGTATATAGAGGAGGCAGGTCCTAACTTGGTGACGTGTACATCATCAGTTGGATCTAGGTTTGATTACTGTGATTCACTCTTTTGGATGACTCTTAAAGACCACTTGGAGTTCTAGTTGTTTCAGAATGCAACAGCCAGGATGTTTCTAGGAGCTAGACATTGTGATCACACTATATCTATTCTGTGACAGTTACAATAGTTCCTCTTCAGTTTTGAGTTCAATTTAAGATGCAGATATTAACCTTTGTAATCCTAAATATTTGAAACTAGTTAACTGAATGATCACCTCCACCTGGACCTTAAAAATCAATATTTAATTCTATTTGTTCTGGTCCATGAACAAAAACTGTAAGTATAGGACATTTTTGTGTTAATTCCGTGTTTCTGGAATACTAAGGTAATAAATGTGTTCCTCCCATTTTTGTTGGCCTTTAGACATTTTAAGTGCTTTTGGTTGCATTCAACATTTATTTATTTATTTATTTTTTATTTATTTATTTATTAACTTTATTTGTACCCCGCTAGCATCTCCCGAGGGACTCGATGCGGCTTACACAGGCCGAAGCCTCAAAACACAATACAGTAGAAAACATAACACAACAATAGCAAAGCAAATCAAACAATAAGCAATAACGACAATAACAATACATCAAACATTATTAAAACAGGCTCAGCTGGTGCAATGGGTACAAGAAATTAAAAGTGCTGAGATGGTAGGGGCACATGGGATTAAAAGTGTAGTGTGCAATAGCAATTAATTATGCTAAGGTGCTATCAAAACTTGGGTGGGGATTCCTAATCTGAAAAGGCACAGCGGAACAACCAAGTTTTTAAATTCCTTCTGAAAGCAGCAAGAGAAGGGGCCTGTCGGAGATCTTTTGGGAGGGCGTTCCAAAGTCGGGGGGCTGCCACAGAGAAGGCCCTGTCCCGTGTCCCCACCAAACGCGCTTGCGATGTAGGTGGAATCACGAGCAGGGCCTCCCCAGATGACCGGAGCGAGCGCGTGGGTTCATAGATGGTAATGCGGTCACGCAGGTAAGGTGGTCCCAAACCGTTTAGGGCTTTATAGGTGAGCACCTGTACCTTGAATTGGGCCCGGAAAATAAATGGCAGCCAGTGGAGCTCCTTAAACAGAGGGGTAGACCTCTCTTGATAATGAGCCCCAGTTAGCATCCTAGCTGCTGCCCGTTGGACCAACTGGAGTTTCCGGGCCGTCTTCAAGGGCAGCCCCACGTAGAGCGCATTGCAGTAGTCCATTCTAGAGGTGACCAAGGCATGGACCACCCCGGCCAGATCAGCCTTCACGAGGTATGGTCGCAGTTGGCGCACAAGTCTCAGCTGCGCAAAGGCCCTCCCGGATACCGCCGACACCTGAGCCTCAAGTGTAAGCGAGGAATCCAAGAGGACACCCAAACTGCGGACCTGTGGCTTTAGGGGGAGTGTAACCCCGTCCAGCACAGGTAACCACCCTATACCCCGATCCGGTTTACGATCGACCAGGAGGACCTCTGTCTTGTCGGGATTGATCTTCAGCTTGTTCCTCCTCATCCAGATCGACACAGCGGACAGGCACTCGCCTAGCACTTGAGAAGCCTCCTTGGAGTTAGGTGGAAAGGAGTAGTAGAGTTGTGTGTCATCCGCATAGAGATGGCACCCAACTCCAAAACTCCGGATGACCTCGCCCAGCGGTTTCATGTAGATGTTAAAAAGCATGGGCGACAAAATAGAGCCTTGCGGGACCCCACAGGTCAAAGGCCAGGGGTCCGAGCAGGCGTCTCCCAGCTTCACCATCTGAGTTCGTCCCTCCAGGAAGGACTGGAGCCACGACAAAACCGTGCCCCCAAGGCCCATCCCAGAGAGACGACCCAGAAGGATACCATGATCGATGGTATCGAAAGCCGCTGAGATGTCCAAGAGAACCAGCAGGGTCACACTCCCCCTGTCCAGCTCTCTGCGGAGGTCATCCACCAAGGCGACCAAGGCTGTCTCGGTGCCATGACCAGGCCTGAAACCAGACTGTGACTGATCTAGGTAGTTGGTATCGTCTAGGAAACTCTGGAGCTGGGAGGCGACCACCCGCTCCAGCACCTTGCCCAGAAAGGGGAGGTTAGAGATCGGTCTGTAGTTATTCAGCACCGTGGAGTCAAGGGAAGCTTTTTTGAGGAGTGGACGAACCACAGCCTGCTTCAAGTTAGATGGAAAAATTCCTTGCTCCAACGATGTATTGATAATCAGTACAAACCAGTCAAGCAACCCCCCTCTGGCTGATTTAATGAGCCAAGATGGGCATGGGTCCAGAGATGAGGTGGTCGCTCTCACAGCCCCAAGAATCTCCTCCACAGTTTCAGGAAGAACAAGCCTAAAAGAATCCCACAAGATTGGACAAGCAGATGCCTCCGTCACCTCTCCTGGCACTGCGATGGAATTGGAGTCGAGCTCAAGCCGTATCTGGGCGACTTTATCTGCAAAATGGTGTGCGAAATCGCGACACCGAGCTGCAGGGTCATCCGTGACCTCCTCCACCACAGGTGGGTGGAGGAGTTCCCCCACGACCCGAAACAGCTCCGATGATCTATTTGCTGCAGATGCTATACGGGTGGTCGTGAACGATTTCCTGGCCACCCGTATAGCCACGGAGTATGCCTTAAGAGAGGCTTTAGCCCGTGCTCGGTCAGATACAGCTCGAGATTTCCTCCATTTGCGCTCTAGCCCCCTTCTCGTATGCTTCATCACAGCCAGCTCCTCGGTGAACCAAGGAGATGGCCTGCCACGGCGCAACGAGATGGGGCGTTCAGGTGCGATCGTATCTAACGCCCCGGCATTTGGGCGATTTGTGGTGCTTTGAAATTCATAGTTGTGTGTCTTCAACAGGTTTACAATTTATGGCTCTCTTAAGATTGTTCGGGGGTGGGGTTGCCTTCCTTTGAGAGTGTCATGCCCAAGGTCACTCA